GGAAACTTAGAATTCACGAGGTTGAGGAAGAGAGGAATATGAATATAGGAAATAAATGAAATGAAAAAAAATATTATATTTTTCGAATAAAGTATTGTTTTCGTGACTACAAGTAAATCAGTAATATGAGATGTATTCACCCAATTTCCCACAATGATATGAGTTGAGCTATGTGAAATTCAACGGAAACGTCAGCTCAAGTCATATCATTGTGGGAAAATTCTTTTTCTACCAGTCCTTCATCGCACTAAAACGAAATTGGGTGAATACATCTCATATTAAATATATTATAGTCGAAGATATGAAGACTAGGATGGTGTGGCCTTTTGTTTGCTTGTGGTCTTCTTTCGTTGTATAGAATTTGTTTAACCTTGTTTCCGGAATTTGGTCATATTGGTAGGAAGACTCGGAGCTACACACCTTGTCCGGAGTCCATTGTCTGCATAATCATTTCCAGAGTCGGGCCGTGGACATGGTACATTTCCGGACGTTTCGTCGGCATCGTCAGTGAGTTTTGCCAATCTTAGCATCACGTTACAACTCGTCGAAGAGACAAGCGAAGCTGATCCTTTGACCAAATGTGTGCTAAATAGTTGAGGTATCGCCCCTTCTGTCCTGAGCTATTCAACTTTCCTATGTCCTCTTATCATGCTTTCAATATGACAATTTCTTATTTGTTTATCTAGACCTATTTGAAATCTATTCACACTCACCGCTGGTTACCTCATCTTTCCCACTGTTCCGGGAGTTTTGATCCAAGGCTGAGGTTTAATCCTCAATCCTCTCTCTTCGGGTCTTATCAGAGTCTTCTCTTGCTCCGTAGGTTCATTCACTAATTTGACAGTTTCAGTGATTTTATTTCATGTCAGCCACCCTATCCGTGCTACTCAAGGCGTTTTTCTACACTCTGCCTCAAGTCTTTGATATAATGTATACACCAACCTCACTGAGCAAGCCCCTAAAGTCTGGATTCTCATTTGGCATGACAACCTAACTTTACGCGGCAGATTGACTTATCGCTGTGCGACATGTACACCGAGTGAATCTTGTCGTCAAGCCTTTACTTCATGAACCATGTATATGAGCAAACTTATCTACTGATATGAAGAAAAACTGGATTTCGAAGAATTCCTTCATGAAATATTGTAGCATCACTCTCCATTTCGAAGGAAGGCATGGTTGGAAGGAATTCGTGATTTGGCCTCACCAGAAACCGAAGAAGGATTGTCGCGTAAGGAAGACTATTGAATTGTGCGAAGAAGTCCTGCGACTCCGATGAAACTGTGCTAAGAGCAGGATTGCAGCCGGCCACCTTCTTCTGTTGGTTTAGTATATTTTTGCTCTATTTCGTGAAATATAGATTCCTGCCCTGAAGATGTCTGTCACAGTACAGACAAAAGCTTAGCACAGTTTCGTCGGGGTCGCAGGAAGGTGAGCCGAGGATTTCTTCGAACAATTCAATAGTTTTCTCTACGCGGCAATTGGCCTTGCTTTCCGGTGATACTACATCCAGAATTCCTCCCAACAAACTGTTCCTTCGAAATTGAGAGTCATGCCAACTAGAAATGGTTACTACCATTTATCTGGCTTTTGTATCAATTCTATTACATTCAAACCCCCAAATGTGATGGTTCCATTTGATTTGAATAGGCAAATGCTACTCTCTGGTTTCATTGTAATTGCTTTTCCTAAAATTAAAAAGATAATCTTTGTCCAGTCGTCTTCTTTTTGTTGATATTCCTGTTCCCTGATTTTCTTCGAGTTTGCTTGGGCAGTATGCGAAGCTTTCGCTAATCCTGCCTTCTTCAAGTCTCATGTTCATTAGGTTTCTTTCGGTCATGATATCAAGGGCTTCTCGTATCTTCAGTTTTCTTGTATTTCCACCATATTCAGCCAGCCTTTCTGCTATTTCGGATCTTTCAGTACTCTTGTTTCTGCAGAGTCTTTGGTGTTCCTTGATTAGTAGGTTAAATTATCTTCCTGTTTAAAAAAAAAATTTACTTCTGCTCAGACTTACGGCATTTGATGCTCTAGACTCCCGAGCAATTTAGTTTCTCAGCCTTTTTGTGTTGCGGCAACTATGAGCAGAAGTATGTTGGTGAAAAGGAAGAGAAATTAGCTTACGAATCAAGGAACATCAAAGACTCTTCAAAAAGATGGACACTGAAAGATCTGAAATAGCAGAACAGATCACAAGAACGGGACATGAAATCGAGTGAAAATCATCAGAAAGGCTGGTTGCAGTTGGTGAAAATGCAAGAAACGCAAAATACGAAAAGTTATCGTTATCCTGAATGAAAAATTCTGATTAACGAGAGACTTAAAGGAGACAGGATTAGCAAAACACTTGCATACTTCCCAAGCAAACTCGGAGAAGATCAGGAAACAGCAATGTCAGCCAAAAGAAGACGACTAGATAAAGATAATATTTTTAATTTCTGGAACAAAAATTGCAAGAACACCATATAGAAACAATCGGAAACTAAGGAGATACGTTTATAGTGAGTCTATTCAAATCAGGTAGAACCATCACATTTGGTTGTCGGCACGCAAGAGAAAGTCATAGACTTGGCATTAGGGATAGGAAAGTGAGAGATACGGTGGTGATCATTGATAGTCAAGTGTTGGTAGATAAGATTGCTCATAGACGTGGTCTATGATGTGAAGGTTTGACGACGAGATTGACTCTGTGCACAGGCCGAACAACGATAAGGGGATCTGCAGCGTCAACTTAGGTTGCCATGCCAAATGGGAATTCAGACTTTATGGGCTTGCTCAGTGAGGCTGGTGTATACGTGCAATCAAAGACCTGTGGCAGAGTGTAGAACAACGTCTTGAGTAGCACAGTTACGGTGGCAGCGATGGAGCGAAATCACTGAAGCAGCCAGACAAGAGAAGGATAGGAAAAGAGCGGATTGCGGATCAAACCGCAGCCTTGGATCAACACTCTTGGCACAGTCGGAGGGTTGAGAAAACCAGCGGAGAGTGTGAATAGATTTCACATAGGTCTACATAAACAAGTAAGAAATTGTGATATTGAAGGGGTGATACGAGAATATGGAAAACGTGAATAGCCAAGGACAAAAGGAGAGATACCACAGCTGCTTAGCACACATTTGGTCAAGGGATCGGCTTCACTTGTCTCTTTGACGAGTTGTGGTGTGTTGCAAAGAGTGACGAGTCTCACTGACGATGCCAGCGAAACGTCTGGGAATGTACTACGTCCATGGTTCGACAACGAACTTCGAACTAGGTGCATTCCTCTGTGTCTTCCTGCCAATATAACCA